ATGTTATCAAAGGCAAAACCGAGTACAGAAACAACCATGATTTTCCGGTTCAAAACTCTGTGGCTGCAGGCAGCTGCAGAGGAGGGATAATCACCCACCACTGGTCTGAACTGAGCGACTTATCAGAGCTGCTCCTAGTGTGAACATCATGTGTGGGTCAGGACTCGGGTACAAAAGCCTGTCAAGAGCAAGACATGCTGGCTGTGTGGGATGACAGCTGAGTGATGCATGAAATCTGTGTTTCTGGAGCCAGTGTTGTTTTTAACGTCTCCTGTCACAGTTTCAGATGTTTGAAAGCGTATCTTCGCTGTGAGCATCCAGCACTCTCTTACAAGCAATACTGGACTGAATCACATCTCTGGTGCTGCCTACTAATTAATCAACCTGAAACAAAAAACGCAGTGACAATTAGGCTGAAGCTGAATTCCAGCTTTAATTTGAAGCGGTTAACACCCACATCAAAGAACAATGCAGGGATGTTGAAACTTGGAGCCATGCTGGTGGCAGACTGTAGGGGTGGCGATTTCATGTTCATCATTCAGGAGGTTTGTACCGAGAGCCAAAAATATGCACAGAGGTCTCTTCCTTTTCAAAACAAACGGACCCCGGTGATTAAAAGCGATAGAAATCCTGAATAAAGCAGTTTCATCTTAATCATCTGTTTTTGTCTGACACTGTTCAGCAGACAAAGGATGTTAGCTTAGCTTGTTCCTCTGATAACTTAAAATCCAGATGTCCTGTAACTAAAATCCTTTATCCGGTTGAAATATATTGTTAAAAACAACCAAGATCTAAAGTAAATCGTAAAAATGCTGCTTAAAGCTGGTTATAGGTCAATTTATGACTATAACTTCTTGCAACGTTGATGCATGTAGAAAGGGGTTCTGATGCTACGGACAGACCATTACCAAAATAAAATCACAGGTTTCTCAGTCCACAAAGTGAAACAATATTTCACTTGGAAAGAAGGACCAGGCAGCAGAGCATTGTGCATGTTTTGGCCAACAGACAGGGCTTCACTCTTCTTCTTCTACTGACTACTTGCTGGCACAAGTTTTAGAGAAAAGAGCCATGGAAAATTCGGGCCAGAGGTTAGCAAGTGTTAAGTGAATACACAATATCACCACAAACATCTTTTCAAGCCAGGTAGAGTGGAGAGGATGCAGAGTTAAGGAGATAGAGGAGGAAAGATAAAACTATAATAACTGCCAATTTGTTATTCCAAATAATGCTTTTGAGATAAAAATATACAAAAATTAGGCTAGCAATCGGAATGTGTTAAAATCTGGAACAGAGAGGAGGTGAAGCGAGGAGAGCGTACAAGAGGCGGAGAGGAAAAGAGATGGAAAGGAAGAAAGAGAGGGAAGATGAGTGAAGAAGGGTCAATATCATATTCCAGTGTGAACAGGTTGAGGTCCTGAACTGACCCACATGGCCAAAAGAACAATAATACGTCATATGAATTCACACGGAGCATGCTGTCATACAGAAGCGAACACAAAGACCACTGAAGACAACGTGTACAGTTTATTTTACAGGTTGATAGGTTGCAGTGGAAGCTACTGAATTTGTGAGGTCTAAAGCATTACCGTCCCTCCACCTCCATCGTAGCTGAGTGACTGAAAGTCACATGAATTCTGATATGAAGGTTCAAAGTAAGGTTGCATTGTAAGAAAATCAGACCTGTATCTGATTTGTACCACTTATGAAAGTGGCCCATCATGTCATGAAAGAAATCAGATTTTTCCCCCTCTGTATACGAATGAAACAGCTCCTGGCGTCTCTCTCTGTCCTCTGCTGTGCTCAGCTGGTCGGCACCTGCCTCTCTTTTAGCTCTGCTGCTGCCTGGATACTAAACCTCTTCATCAGTCTGCTTTGTGACCAAGACTCCAGCAACCTTTTGTTTTATCCGTTACTGTCTGTCTGTGCTCATTAACCATCTTTGACAGCAGCTGATGCGCTTTTACTCACTCCAGCTTTCACTCTCCAAAAATCCTTCTTCCCACATTCTTTCTTTTTCCTAGCACTCTGGGTGTTTTTGAGGGTTTGTGCTGCTCCTCCTCCATCATTACTTTCTAAGTCTTTTTAGTTGCTTTTCTGGTTGTTTTTCTGCTGCAGTTAATTTAGGATTTATTTTTCATACCCATCTAAATTTGTTAAATACTACACCACGAACATAAGTAAATTCTAATGCAATCAACACAACAAAAACTTGCTTTTTAAAGTTTCTAAAGTTAGTGTTTGATGTTGCAAATACCAAATGTTAATGCTCTACTGTCAGAGTTTGTAGGATTTTAATTGGGTGCTTATATGAGATGCCTGGGCTTCTACTTCATGAAGCTTATTGTCAGCTTACTGCTGACAATAATTTTCACTGCAGTTGCACTTTTCTTCATTTCAAATTTCAGTGGCTTTTGAAAGCGCTTTTCCAGCTTTCTAGGTTGAAGCTTGAATTCCTGAAAAGAAAGTTGCCTGGTGTTTACTTCTGCCTGGAGGTTGAAGCAGAATGTTCCCAAAACCCATGAATGAATTATCATAAAAAATGTTGTACACACTGACCTTGGGCTGAGGAGCGATTGGCAAGTATTGGGTGGGAAAAAAAGAAGCCTGAGGACTGCAAGGTTGTGTAATGTTGGAGAGGAAAGACTCCTCTCTTTTGCAGAATTGAGGCACTCTTGAGCAAAGCATTTAACTGCAAAATGCAGATATGGAGCAGCTTGGTGACTTGCAATGTCAGTCTGTGGTTGTAGTCGACAGCTGCCAGCTGTTATGTACAAATGAAACAGGGAGTTTCACAGATGAATGATTAAAGTGATCAATAATTCTTTCTGCATACATATGGGAAAAATCTAAACTTTAAAATAAAGATCTGATGGAAAAAAGCCTCTCTTTCACCCAGCTGTGCTCCTACTGACTCCACACTCTCCCTCTGATTGTCTCTTTCTTCTCGCTTTTCTGTTTCTTTTTTAGTTTAGCCCGGCCGTGTTGTTGCTTGCTCCGTCACCACTCGGCCTCCACAGACACCACCCACGCCTCAGCGGCAGCTGTCACCATGACGCCCCGCGGGGGAACGCTGCCCGGCAGGCAGGGAGGTGGAAGCTGGGAACCGAAGAGTCTAAAAAAATCTGACACAGCGCATAATGTAATCCTCCTCCTGTCCTCTGCTTTTCTGTCTGAATGTGAATTGCTCATATGCATGTTGTGAATTAATTTTATTTTTCCTCTGTTTTTGTTGATATAACAACCTGAGTTCAAATAGTCTTGATATGAATAAAATATGCATTTGGCCGTAAATAAACAGCAAATAAGATGTGACAGGTTTGGTATTTGTCAGTAATTTTACACTCAGCCGTAGAGAAGTGATTAATGTTGTAATAGTGGGAAGAGTTAGGTGGTGACACTAATGGATGCAGCAGTTGATATTTTTATTGCTGACTGCTAAAGTTTAAAGAGAGATGAAGAGAGGAAAAACACTTTGCGGTTGATCACAGATTGTTTCATCCATTATTGGAGCTAGAGTCAAAGACAGCTGGGTTTGCTGGTGGGCAGTTTTGAACAATTAAAACCTTTTTGAAAAGAATTAAAAAGAGAAAACACAGTCCAGTGCTTTCAGGAAATAGCCACAGCCTCACACTCTGAGTCTGACAGTGACAAAACTTCTCGCCTTCTCCCGCCTACTCAGCTTTCATGTTACCAAACTGCCAAAAATCGAAATGGACATACTCCCGTGCAAAGTCGCTGCCCTCAACACCTCTCGTGCCAAACTGCAGCTTGCACACCAAAGAATACCGAAGAGACGGACTGAGGATTCAGGGCTCACCAGATTTGTTCATGTACCAGATATATGATCTTTTGCTGCCTGCAGACTCACTGCTGCAGTTTGTGTCATAGTTAGACTTTTCATAGTTGTTTACTTGTTAATAATTGTTTTTGAGTACTTAAAGGTGGGGTCAGCAATTCTAATTCAGTACACTTTTGGTCAAATTCAGCAAATATCACAGTCTGCTAGCTGGCCGTTCTGTGTGCGCTGTTTGTAATTGGGAAACAAAGTGGCTCGGACTGAGCTACACAGCACCTTTACAGCCAATCCAGCCAGGATTTGTGTGTGAAGTAAAGTTAAATTACTTGCCTGTAGGAGAAATTCTTCCAAAATATTGAGAGTTCAGATATTGCTTTCTAGTTTGAAAAGCTATGCAGTTGTTGTGATATATATATAGTAGCAGGAGAGTTGTGAGTATCGCTGTCTGGAGCTTGTGTGTTGGGTTTGGAAAACTGTCTCGTCTAAACGAGCATCTAAACTAATAGCTTTTACTCCGGCAAGAGTTGCATAACACACTTTTAAATGTCTAATTTCTTATTTCAGATATTATAATACCACATATGTAAAAGTTCTTTGATTTTTGCTTGGTTACTGGAAACAACAAGTAGAATAAACATGATTATCACGGTAGGTGAAGTTAAACACATAATGATTCATAAATCATCAGCCTTTCATCAGCCACAGCTTAATATTTTAGAAAGATAATGAAGCATAAATTAATTCCACTCAACACCCACACATCCTGTTAGCAGCTCTTTGCTCTTGTGATCTGAAAGGTGTAAAACACCAAATGTCTGGAAACCTCCCAAAACTCAAAATTGGGAAATATATAGAGGCCAGATACAGTATATACTGAGGCAGTAATAAGACTTTGCACTTTATCACCTTTAAAATCCTCCTACTTACCTTCCTACTAGTGCCTCCTTTATCTGCCAACTTCAGATCTTTAGTCAAATGACCGCCCTTTACCAACCACATCGTTCAAAACCATTCAAACAACAAAAAAACAAACTATTCAAATTAACATTAAAAGCTGTGGAGTGTTACAACTATGAATCAACATAAACCTTCTAAAAACTCATGTTTTCCTCACCTAATGTTCTCTTGAGGAAAGAAAATCAACAGAATGACACACACAAGAACAATTAACCAAACAACAACAACAATACAGTCACGTTACCTGGCATGCTGATCCAGTTTGCCTGCGGCATGGGATGAGGAACCTGCAGAGGAACAGGCGGCAACAAGGTTTGAGGCGGGGAGAACTGCGGTGGCTCCCTGGGCAGCAGTGGAGGTGGTGGTGGAGGTGGAGGAGGAGGAAGAGGAGGAGGGTATCCTGCAGGGTGACAGCCAAGCGGCTCAGTCTCTACGGTTCGCAGACATTGCTCCCTCAGCCTCTCTTCGTGGCGGCGCTTCAGCCTGCGCTGCAGGAAGCTGCAGAAGCAGCAGAGCATGACGATGACGGCCCAGACCAACCAGAAGCCAGCGAAACAGGCCAGGAAGGTGTAGGTGCCCTGCGACATCACCATGGCGGTGAGGGGACTAGTGAGAGTTTTCCCCCCGGGCAGGAAGAGGTGATTTCAGACGTGCAGGACGAGATGTACGTGATGTCCTGTTGTCCTCTGGATGCCGTGAAACTTGGCAAGCTTGTGACTCGTCTCTCCAAGGTCAATAAGCCAAATTCTATATTGCCAATTAAAGTGCTGACACTGCTATCCTGAAGGCTGTAATCCAATGTGGGAACTAAAAAAATAAAAGCAGGTGATAAAAAGGTGTTAATAGTTGGGTCTCAGTCAACTTAACTTGAATACTGATAAATTTAAGTCAGTTAAAGTTACAAAATCCTTCAAAATCACCACAAAAAATTTGATTCGAAGCTCAGTGGCAAGTTTGCTTCAAGATGGCAGCTCTATCACTCAGTACTTCACAAGATTTAAACTTGTTTGAAAGAAAAAAGGCATCCAAGAACTGGACTAGAACTGCCTAAATAAGTTAAAAAATAATAATAATTTCAATTAAAAACAGTAAAATACAGTAGAATCTTTATCTTTTCAGAAACATAACTGTGACATGCCTGAACATTAGACGTTCTGAATTTACAGTCTTGGTTGTGTTTATGAAGGTCTGTCCGTCAATAAAAAGCAGCATCCTCAATAAAATGTGTAATCATATGTAGTTACATTCTTATTAAATCAAATCTAATCCAAATGTTTTTTCCTAGAAGAAGGTGCACAGAGGACCTGAATGCAAAAAGTTAATGATGAGGTTAACTGCCTCGGAAACAGCGACGATGATGGCTCGTTAGTCTCACCACAACCAATTCTGTCTGCTCGGTTTGGAGATAAATGTATGTAAATCACAGGACGTTACATGTTTAAGGCGTGACAGTTGAAAATGGGAGTAAAAAAAATATGATTTTTGTCCAAATTATATCTCTAGAAATGATCTGCTGCACCACCACCAAATTCACTAAAACAATCAATCTTGTGCTTTTTTGGAATATTAGATTTATTTAATCTGGTTTGCAAATCTTCTGTATCCCTTCAGATGTTCAGCTCCTCTGCAGCACTTCTCATTTACATGGAAATGTGTCTGAATCTCAGGATAAACACCAACATGACACACTGACAGACACACACTGTTATTCCAGACTACAAATAAACTGTGCACCTTGGCAGGTGTTTTGAGCAGCAGCAAACATCCACTTAAACTCTCCAAACAGCTCCACCAGACTCCTTTCAATAATCCACCCTCTCAGTTTTCTTGAAAAGCTGGTGAAGCTGTGGCGGCTGTAAACTTCTCCATCTTTTCAGATGGAAAATACAGTTGCAACAACACTGTCATCTGATTTTTGAGGCAGAACCTCATGTCCAAGAGAGAAAGGAGAAAAAAAAGTTGAAACTAGAAGAAACAAAAGCCCTGTGGGTCAGACAAACTGATGCGACGTCCAATCAGAAGCACCAAAAACCCCAGAGGTGATGTGTGAGTCCCTCTCAGACGGGTTTGTCCATGTGAAGTCAAGCTGGTCCCTTCAAGGTTGCGAGGGACCAGAGTCGGGGGTCTGTCTACACCGCCAGGACACCAAATTCTTCCCTCTCAGATCCCAGCAGGAATCCTCTGCCTCACGCTGCTCTACAAAGGCACACAGGGAAGAGAGGAGACCATCGTCAGTGATTATCAGAGGACAAATTCAGACAATATTTTCAACACAGTAAGAACTCAGAGCAGTAAAAACAGCACAAAGGCCATGTGTCTTTAAATCTCAGCTGTTCGGGCAGGATTATGACGCTGACCTCGGGGGGTGAGTATCAGTTTCACACTTCAGAGAGCAGCTCACAGAGAAAATATTCAGTGATGTAGTGAGAGACAAAAAATAAAAAGACACATCATTATCTTTATTAAAACTAATGAAATTACCTCAGTTATTCCTTCCTTTCATGTTATTGATGGTTAAGAACTAGTTCTCCAATATTAAATAAAATGTTTTGTGAATACCACAACAAGTTTTCTGATCCTTTAAGGATGACATTCTTGCCTCCCAAAACCATCACAAAAATAAAAAGCCTGTCACACAAAAAAGCTTGGTTAGGTTTACAAAAACAAATTGGTTAGTATTAGAGATGCATCGTAGTTTGTTGTTAAGTTTCAGGAGAACAATGTTATCATGGCTTAAGGTCAAGTGTGTAACATTTAGGAGGATCAGAACACGGCGGTTTGTCTTCCATGGAGTCCGCCATATTTCTACAGAAACCCAGAACGGCCAAACCAAACACTGGCTGTGGATGAGGACTTTCACAAGTTTTTCCTAAAGGCCTGTTGTCATTCCCAGGTCGTCAAATACTTGCACCAGTGGTGTTCAGTTAACCTTACCTTTGGAAGCCACTCAATCCTACACACTGATCCTTTAAGTAAATGGTATGGGTACTTCTTTCATCAGCCTGACGCTGTGTCTGATAAATGTGTTTTTTATATATATAAAGCATTAATGGGCTAAAGGGAAACAGTCTGTAGCTTCTAAATGGTGGAAAACAGAATACATGAATAATTTTATGTTATAACCGCGGGAGAATAATCACACACAAACAGCCTTTTTCCTTAATGTGCTCCAATCTGTGCAGGGTTTCTGCATCTTGATTAGCAGCTGATGTCTGCAAATTTTTAGCTGAACCAGAACTGATTTTGCAAAATTATTATTCTTCACCGCAGTGACAAGAACAAGTTAACATGTCATTCCCAATGATGGTGCAGATACTCCTCTGGACACTTAGATGTTTTGTTCCTTCAAAGTTCCAGTATAATCAGACCAGAGCCGCAGAACAGAAGGTCCTGCAGGTTTTCATGTCAATGACCCCAAACAGACGGGCATTAATTAGACTGCAGACATCCATCTGGTGATCTGACACCTAGAAACTCTGTCTGAAGATGACAGATAATTTTATATTTAATTGTATAACGGTTTGTCTGGTGGTGGAGAGGTTAATAATAGAAAGTTTCAGTTTAGCAGTGTTTCCATTCTGAGACAAGGGTTAGTCGCTGGACCAACTTAACGATAAATGAGTTAAGACTAAGTTCTTTGGTGCTGTGAGCTAAATACCAACATCAGCATGCTATCATACAGATGTTTACCTGGTCTAATGTTAACTAATGTGGGCAATGATGATTCTCTTTGTTGACTCAAATCACTTTTGTTCAACTTATCAGAGATTATAAAGTTGTTATTTGAAGTTGAAATCACTTCACCATTCAAACATACAGTACAACTATAGCTAACTGCTAATCTGAATGGAAATGTTAACATGTTGTTGTTTAGCAGGTAATGTGTTTGATGTGTTATCATGTTGAGTCTATAAATATTAGCTAAATGCTAATGTCAGTATGTTAACATAACACAATGATAATATTAACATACTGATTTTAGCAGGTATAATGTCTATCATGTTTATCATATCTAAATTAGTGTGTTTAGGACTAAACACAGCTAAGACTGGTGGGAATGTAATTAGTTTTGTAGGTTTAGTCAGAAACCCAAGCACTGGACAAACTGATATATATGACCTGATGATGGCACTAAAATTTCCACTGCAGTCCATCTAAAATTTATTGATACATTTTTATAAAAACCACAAATGTCAACCCTGTTGTGGTGCAAGACAAAAAGTCAGAGGCTCATCATCATCCTTTGGGGACCATGAATGTCTGCACCAAAATTTCATAAATGTGGAAAATAAAAACTTGAGACTTTCAGTCTTGTTCATCATTGTGTTGTGTTGGGAGGTGAGTAATCAGATGCTGTCAAACAACGACCCTCCAGAGGCTCCTGCGAGGTTGAAATGTGTTTTTAATATGAGAGTCATTAAAATAAACTTTTTTTTTGTTTTGTTTATTCTACCGTTTTTACGACTGCAGTTACTATAAAGTTGTCTGTCAACTCCAGCTTGAGAGTTCCTCAGCTCTTGGAAATCTAGGTGGCATTGTTGGACAACTTCATAGTAATTGGACCATTTATTTTCTGGTGTTGTCGGCAGGATACAAGTTTGGGAGTAGTGTGCAGTACCCAGGCGTCATAGAAGTTAGAGGGAAGAATGGTGATGCCAATTTATCCTGGCACACCTTGGGTGCCCAAATTTAAAGGGCCAGACAGTGAAGTTGAGTTAGGGGACTGGAAGGAGCAATTTCAAGGAATCCTAAATGCCCAGGAAATAACAGGAGATAAAAAAGCCGATATATTAATAAAAGCCTTAGCTGGAGAAGCAAAGCCGTAAGTTAGTGTGCTGAAAAGAAGCAGTGCCTGAAACGGTTCTTACCAGTACTGAGGACTGACACTTCTGATTTTTGTCCACAAGTACCCTTACTTCTTTTTGAGTACCACCACTGAGGTCACCAAGACATGGACCTCAGTATTTTCGAGGGGTATACAATAATTGTTGTAAAATATTTGCCTAAATATAACTACGTTGATCCCCCCAAACCACCTCAGTATTTCTAAAACCCTGTGTACAGCAGTGTTGTTGAGGTTCTCCCAAATGGCTGCATGACTGAGTCTCCATAGAAAAACATAGCTAGCTTTACACTGAAAAATGTTTTTGTTAAAAAGAATAGAAAACACTAAAAGAATTAGGGTTAGGGTTGTACTGGCACCTCTTTTAGTCCAATTCAGGCACTGCTCGTAAAAGTTTTAGTTACTTAAGATTCCCTGTATGGTAACAACACCCCTAATGCATCCTGAGGTGACATTATCTCTACATGAGCTTTGGGGAGCCGCCCTCACTGAGATTTTCAGTCATCGTTCTTCAAGTTGTCAGCGACAGCAAAATGACAAGAAGAGAGAAAGTTTTTGAAAAACAGCGATGAGATTATGAATGTAATATTTCTTCCCCTCCCGTCTGAACGGCTCCTCAGGGAATCACCTTCACTTTGAAATACTCTTAACAGTCGTGACTCATCCCATCGCCTGCGACATCTCATGCTGTCACCACTCAAGTTTAACCAAAAACATGACATTTACAGAAATTTTGAAGTAAGATATCTTTCCTCTGAGAAAACAACACCTACTTCGTCCTAGAATTGAAACAAAATAACTTGTGAGTTATGAGGGGTGTGTCGTTTTTTTTTTAATTGGACACTTAGTATTACACTTGTATTCATAGCACAAGTGGAGCCTCAGTGTTCATGTCATGTTTTTTCATCTTCCACCTCCATGTCACCTTTGGGAATCACACCCCTGTGTCTATTATAATTTGAAATTGCTCAGCAGAGGTGATTCATCAGCAGAGAGCCTTCATGAGGTCACACAGCCGCTGATATTTCAATCTATGAGCACTGATACGGAACAGAGCCTTTGTTTACTCCCTACGCTTCCTGCATTCAGCAATACTCAGACCTCAACCTCCACACCCACACATGTACAACAAAACACATGTACAGTACACACACACACACACACACTATTTTTATCCGTCTTTTGTCTTTTATCTTTTTCTCACATGGGCCACAATCGGAAATGGAAACGGATTTCTTTCTGATGTAAAGGACTGAATGCCAGAAAAATCTGGATTTGAACTATGAATTAGAGCTGAAGGACAACAATAAAATGTGAATAGAAAAAATATAAAAGCAGTTGAGGACATTATATGATTAAACATTTAAAGGAATGTTTTCAACACTTACGCACTGCATTTTATTACACTCGGCATGCCAGCACAGCAGCATTGCCAGTGAAACTGTTCAGTCGCAGCTACCGGTACAGCTGAAACCACATTTAAAGTATTCAGTCTGCACAGAAAGTGAATTCTCTGCAGAACCTTTGTGCAGACAGCAGATGTGTTGAGGTCATAGTTCAAGTTCTTGTCGATCAGTGTTCCCAAGAACTCCACCACCTCAGCCCTTCATTATTGTTGTTGGAAAGGTTGCGTGGGAGCTCTTCCTGAAGTCAAAGGTTTTAGTTTTGTGACCATTTAACTTCAGGATGTGGTTGTTGCACCACTCAACAAAGTCTTTCAGAACCGGGCCATGATCAACCTCTCCGTCCTGTAGTGTACTCAACTCAGACTTGAACAGTAACCAAACTTAATGTTGTGAAAAGGATCTTGTGAATATTTTTTTTTCTTGTGTTTAAAAGGTTGAGGTTTGCCTGCTGACTTTTAATTCTTAATAGTCTTCAAAGTGTTTTCCATAGGACTGCAACTAACAACTATTTTAATAACTGATTGTTAAAAACCAAAAGATATTGAACTTACCATAAAGTAAGACAAATCAGATATCAAATATTTGGCATTTTTGCTTGGAAACTAACTTAAATGTCTCTCTATCGAGGAATCAATTAATTGGCTAATTGTGTAGCTCTAATGGTATGTTCTGACCGTCTCGTGTTACGTGCTAGTTTAGTCGCAGGATCATATGTATTTATTTGTACTCATACACATAACGCAAGGCAAATATTTGCATGGTATGAGCCTAAAATTAACAGATTTTGCTGTGATTTAATGTCAATAAACAGATCAAAATAGCTATCACAATCATTATGGCAATTTGTAAAAAGTCTGAATTCATACTTTGTCGGGTCTGTGCGCAAGACAACGAGCAAACAACTTTTAAAATGCTTGTTTTCTGAATGGACTTTGGATCAATCAGGGCTATGCTAACTTAGTTTATAGTAAACTAAAACCGATAGCTAGAATCAACGCCACTAACTAACGCCAGGTACGCCACTTTCCTCTCTTCCTTTCCTCAGAGCAATCTCCTTTTTTTGGCCTGTCTCTGTATAAATATGAAGTAAGTTTCATAGAGCTTTGGGCGCACAAAGACAGATACAAGCGGTGGTGGCACCTCCGTGGCTCGCAGCAGACAGGTTGAGAAGAGAGAGCAGAGATAAATCTACTTTTTAATCCCAAAAGTTTAAAAAATAATAATCCCCGAGTTCTCCTATTGCCAGTAAACGGCTCAAGATCAGAGCAGAATCTGGTGTGACTACGGGTGTTTATTCCTTCAGAAGCTCAGGCTCTCTTTTGCAGAGCTCCCCGAGCTCAAGCTGCTGTCTGTAGGCCAACAACAGCTCTGTGTCTCATCTCCTTCCCATACACGTTCAAACTCTTTTAATTCTAACATCTTTAATTAAGATGTCCTCCTCAAACACACCTAACCAGGGACATAAAACCTGTAACTATCCAGTTTCAGGCTTATCTCTTTATCCAGCTGCTGATCATGTGAGGATTTAGTGTTTTGCTTCAAGGACACTCTCCAGGCCACAGCAGGCCACTTCATCTCCTCTGAGGTTTCAGAAAGCAGCATGTCTGTCATCACATTTCACTCAGAGCAAAAAAAAAAAGAAAACACATGTTCAGTGGACCCGCGTGAGGTCGGTGTCGAATGAAAATCTTATGATCACAAACTTTTTTCAGGAAATGAGTTCTTGACTTTTTCCTACTGGTGTCCTTGCATTCTTTGAAACTCGACAACACACTTGTTCCATAAGGAGGACCTCAGAGTTTGGCTTTCACACAACAAAAAGGAGCAAAACCTAAACAGTGACTATGAAGTTAAAGTTTTTAAAAAACAGTGTAGCTCTTTAGGCCAGGTCTTTTTTTGTCTGGCGAAATGATGTAAATGCAAACATTAACGTACTACAATTGCATAAATAGTCATACAAGTATGAAAATTGACAGGAATATCCCGAAACATGAGACTACTGATCAGACTGAAGGTAAAAACCCATAAAAACAAACAGACAGTCCTGTGGTCTGCAGTTCAGGTCTTGCAGAGTGTTTCCTGCTAAGGTCTGAGAGTTCAACACTTTACACAGTCACCTGACAACAAATGACCTGTTAACAAATATAAAATATAATGGCTTTAAGTTTATGTTACTTTCTGTGCCTTTAAACTGGAGGGCTGTTATTTGCTCCCCCTGTTGGTGCAATGTAGCATTTCTTCTACAGGTGTTCCTAATCTGACCTACACAAATTCATGCCTGCCCTTCAACGGAGGGCAGGAAAGTACCAGTCTCAGCAGACTGATGTGACTCAGCTGCCTCTTGTTTCTTTTCACAGCCTACTTTTGAGAAGATGGACCCTGTCATGTCAGTCATGTTTTGTTTCTGTTAGTAGTTTCTGGGAAGCCCGGCTGGCTGCAGTGGCTTCCTTCTTTTTATCTACGCTTGACTTTAAAAGCTTCACCTGAAATAAACCTGCATTGAAGAACCAAAAGCAGTGCCAGCACAAATTAAAAGTTTGACTTGATGGTTGCGCTAAATTAAAAGTCAGAGGGTTAGCAAAGTTATTAGGAGTACTTGTTGCCAGTGTGGAACAAAGTGGTGTACTAACATCCCTGCTAACATGGCTAAGAAGTTCATTTGCCTCGTTGATTCTGTTTCACTTGTGTGTAAGAACATTTAAGGGGGTTGTAACAAGCTACATTATTCCTGTGATGTGAATGTTAACACCCATTAAATGAAAGCTGAGAGTCAGCACTTTAACCTCATTCTTCAACCATTATTTCATTTCAAACTGAATTCGTCCTTGGTTTGTTTTTGTTTATTTTGTGTAAACTGTAGGCTAGGCTAACAAGGCTAACACATGTTCGAGGCCTGGGGGACCGCCTGCTCACCTAAACGTCATACTGCAGCTTCCAGTCTGTAGCTTCCTGCGTCGTGTGTTGTCTTATCCTTGAAAGACACCTGTGTCGTGCTGCCAGAGGGTCCTTAAGCAAGTCCTTGGCCTGCTTACACACTGAGTCATATTGGCAAAAGGTCTGAATACGTACGTAAATATGGACTGAAATGTCCTATTATAAACAAATATTAAGAGTTCAAATAAATGGATGACTTAAATATGGACTTAACCTAATCTAGGTTATATAAATGGCTGGTTTATTATAAACTATATATAAGAATTATATCAGTGGAGGAAGAAGTACTCGGGTCCTTTTCTTAAGTAAAAGTAGAAATAAAATAGTCTTAAAATACTCCATTACAAGTAAAGGCTAATTAAAAGTAGGCTAAAAGTACTCATAATGCAGAATTGCTCATTTGTATATATAATATTATATTACTCTGTATTAATCACTAATGAATACATGTAGGAGTATTTTAATGTTGTTTGTCAAAGTCAGCTTTAGGTACTTTGTGTACTACTGGGTAGAGAAGTACTGCGTCATGATGAGCATATCATGTTTGTATGTAAGTAAAAACTGATTAAAGCTGTCAAATAAATGTAGTTAAGTACAATATATTCCTCTGAGGTGCAGTGGAGCACAAGTAGAAAAAGAAATTAGTCCAGTAAAGATGAAGTATGTCAGTATTGTTCTTAAGTATTTGATCAACATATACTCAGCTGTAAGTTACCTGGAGCATTCCTCAGGGACCCCTGGGTGTTTTGGGCCCCCTGTATGTCCTGTATTTGTGCTACAGAGAATTAAACTGCTGCCAACGAAATCAAAAAGTCTTTGTTAGGCGTTTGGCGCCTTCACTGTTGGAAGATAAACACAGAGGGTGTCTCAGCAGCTCCGTGTCCGGAATTCAACTGAATCACGTCAAATCACCCCCCCAAAAACCATACTGATCGATTTGTACATTACGCAACTGCTCAGACGCACTGCTGGGTTTCTGCTTTTTTAATGTCCCTTCTTTAATTACCTCCATGAGAGAAACGGCAGGAGGGCTTTTCATCACTGAGACTGAGACCAATCAATGACTGTCTGAAGTGGAAGACCTTGCTCTCCATTGGAGATCATAAGATAAGGTGACAGCGCAGGTAATGGAATACCTCAAACAAACCCTAACGTCGCTGTAAACTCACAGCTCATATCCACACGCACTACAGGTCCCTGTTTGAATGCCACATTTCGGTGGAGAAAAAAAAACTCACCTTTTTAATTCCTCCGACGAGATGACGCACTCAGCTCGCTCCGTGCCATCTAAGTTTTGGGGTCCAAAATTAAAAAAAATAATAGTAAATAATAATAATAACAAAAGCAACCGAGGTTAAAACAAGACTTTCCACCGGCCCTGTTCCCTCTCGGTGTGTGCATAGGCCTGTCCACCGGCTCCAGTTATCGTCCGTTAATGGATGTGAGCTCCTCCGTTTTCCCCTCTCCTCCCTGCGCGGTGCTGCCGCTAGCTGCGCGTCGTGTTTTGGACGTGAAGTGGTTTATCAGTTCACCTTGACAGACTGGCTCCTCCCTCCCTCTCTCTCTCCTCTCCTTCATTCAGTCCCTCCCTCCCTCATCACTGGAACAGCAGAGGGAGCGTTTCGTGACACTCTGTCTGTCTGTCTGTCTGGATGATGAGAATATAATCAACCTGCCGGCGGGGTTTTAACGAGGGCGCACGGCTTGGCAAAGGAAGACAGACGCCGTGGAAAGCGTAAAGAAAGAGCTCTAGGTGTGATGTGTTTACGTGTGTATACAAACTATTTAGATGGTTTCACATTGCTGTTATATATCTTCTTTAAAGCCTGCTCCAGTGCTGAAACCACACAGTGAAAAGAGTCTTTTGAGAATGTATTTATCCATTATTTATGAGGTTCTATTGGAAAATTTGAAACCCAATGATGGGTCTTATGTTATTGGTCAAGATGGTCAGTCATCTTTATCAGAGAGGTCAACCATCAAAAACAAAGAGTCCATACAGCCACACAAGCAACTGGTGTGAGGTTTAAAGATAAGATAATACTATTCTTTACTGATCCCCAGAGGGTAAATTCAGGTGTTGTAGCAACACAAAGACACAAATCAGTAGGCTACAGATCAATAAAGACAAGTAAAACATAGTTCATTAGAAGTAAATTAAATAAAAATAAGAATATAACAAAAAATACAAACTATACAAGAGCAATTAAACTCAAAATTACAAGGCAAGCAGTACACTTTAACCCAGTAGCCAATTGAATTGCAGGTCTACTTAAACTAATACTGCGATTTAAACTGTAGCAGCAAAACCAGCAAGTATAGAACATTTAAGAGTAATATGATACCATCTATTATAACATCACCATCATATATATATACACACACATACGTGTATATAGTTTGAAGTAATGATATTCAGTGTTTGTCTGTATTAAAGCCATATTATGCAATAATTGTTTGTTTTCTTGCTACTTGGCGCCCCTACAGTTTAGGAGTGTAATTCACTTTTACACCACTGTGGTAAATACAAACCGAGTATTGACCCCTCACCCACACAAACACAGCTTGACACGTGTATTTGTTGACAAGCTGAAGGCCAGAAAAGATGACGTCAGGAACCACAGAACCAAGTGGACTGACTGGGTGAAGTAATACAGGATTCTTCTGAAAAGTCAGGTGACTCATTTTGTGCCACCACCAACAAAATTGTCAGCCTACGCTTGTTCAACACTTTAGGATACCTTTAAACTGAAGAGCGACTTCCTGTCACCCTCAGCTGTACTCTGAGATTAATGCTAACTGTGAACCTGTTAACCTAAGTCTAAAGTGTCCCCCTTAAACAAGGCAGGTAGGAACTAAAATAACTTGAGAATGGAGAATGAATAGCAACTTAAATGTTACATGTAAATATATAGATAAAACAATAAACTGCTAGAAGATGATATGGAAATAAGTATTGTAATTAATAATAAATACAATTAACCTGCAAATTAAGTGTGTATATATGGTTACAGTCATGAAAAGAGGGCGACATTAGCATTCAGCTCAGCCCACAGCTCTTATCTGATAAAGTCTAGCTTAGACTGATACAAATTTAATCCTAATGTAGAGTTTAGGCTGACTCTGAAATTCCCTTAAACGGCTGCATACAGACGCCACCCACAGGGAAAAGCATGGCTAGATTTTTAATTTCTCTGCAGCACATATTAAAGACAGGGACTGGGAGCCCTGCTGAGGTCGGCCTAGTCATCTGATCAGGACCTGCTTTCTACTTGATGAATGAAATTAAAAGCAGCAGGACTGAGGAGCACTTTAGGAGAGTGAATAGATTACTGAGCTCAAAGGAATACTCAGAAGTTTGAGAAGTCTCGCTGGTCAGTTTACATGAATACAAAGAACAAACACCCAAATCCTCCTGTGTCTCTGGTAGACCGGTTTAATGCCCTACTGCTCTGCAGTCCTCAGGGGGGCTCTGCTGCTTTTTTTTCCTTTATCACCGGGCTATAATCACAGTTATTATAATTCACCTGGAGTCAGAGGTGTAAAATAATCCCTGAGTAGATGTAGAGAATGAGAACTTGCAGGACACACAGTCTATTGAGCTTGATGTGTCAGACCAGGTAGTTTAATCAAAAAGCATCAATATTGCACTTCATCAGGTATATGTCGTTTAGCAGCTTATTACAACCTATATTTACGTTAGGCGGCGACCTCTAGTAGCCGTAATAATTATGGCAGGAGCAAAGGAGGAAGTGAGGTGACGTAATATAAGGAGCGGCAAAGTCCATGTAGGGGTGAGCTCGGGTTGGACAGGTGTCAAACACACTACAGAGAGTACAAATTTCTTACACAAAGCCTGTGATACAAACTGGGAACGTGGGCGTTTAACAGGCAGGGAGTGTCTGACAAAAAGCTGCATTATGGGAAATAAGGTTGAGTGCTTTTGGAGTTTGACTCATACAAGAAACTTACAGTCAATCTTGTTGCTTTGATTTTGACCTTTTTTTCACAAAAATGTGAAGCGTAATACTGTGATACTGGTGATAGTGTGAAGTAGCATGGTATCATGGGAGTTGTTCCTTCAGTGTTCATCGTTTAGGAGGTTTCTACCAGGAAGGTGAACTATGTGCAGAGGTCTGCTTCATCCGGTTAAAATATAAACATATAAAACCACCACCAAGATCTAAAAAGTTTGTCATAAAATGTGGCAACTTTGGAGCCCAGATAGCTCATCCGGTAGAGCTGGCGCCCCATGTACCAAGGCTAAGTCCTTCCTTCAGGGGCCCTGGGTTCGAATCCGACCTGTGGCCCCTCTTTCTTCCCCATTTCCTGTCACTCTTCAGCTGTCACTATCCATTAAAAGGCAATAAAATACCACAACACTGACGCATGTGGAAAGGGGATATGACACCGTGACAGGTGACCAGTGAAACGCACCGTGAGACGATTGTTGGAAAACATTAGGATGATGTAAGTACACAACTCGACAAAGTATGTAACATAGATGAAGTGTTTATAGACATTTTAATGCAGAAGTGTTTTTTTTTTTTACAAGACATTTATAAATTAAAGTCAGTTCAGTTCTCCTTCAGCAGTAAAGAGCAGATGCAGCTTTTAATCAGTGACATCAAGTTACAAACAGATAAGTTGATATCAGATGACCATCAGTTTACAACACCTGCACCTCATGCATATCAAATATTCATAAGCTTGTTACAGCAATGACACCGCACACGCACACCCTTTTTGATGACTGTCTCTTTAAATAAAGGTTAAAAACTTACATACATGTGAGGCAGGTATCCTTGAGCTGGAGAGTCACATTATATAAAACCAGTTTGAGGTTATAATCCAAGTTACTGTCATAGAAAAGAAAGTTTTCCAGCTGTGATTGAAGGTAAAGTGACTCTGCATCAGTCATTAGAAAGATGGTGGTTTCAACCTGCAGGAGCTAAGCTCAAGCTACCTGCAGATTATTTGACTGTCAAACACAATAAATTCAAATCACTGTGAGCATCCAGCGTCTGGAAACAGAGTGAACCTCCCTGAACGACATGAGCTGTGTGTGCCGTGAACCTTTATTTACTCTTTATTTTATACTCAGCTTCTCTCTTTGGATTAATAGATTAAATGGTACAATGTTTATACAATCTGGCAGTACAAATATTATGCAATAATACAGAGAAATAAGGCAGCATTGAAAAAGTGAAATAGATTTTTCACTTTAAATGAAGGCCTTAATGTTGCTAAGCAAGTTTCTTCAAGTCAGTTTATAGTGTTTCTTACAGAGTTAGTCGCTTAAGAAGTTTAACATACAGAGGGAGCTTCTGTTGGCTCATGTGTAATCAGATGTTTTCTTCATCTGGAAAAACGGACTGAGGACAAATTGCCACTGTCACTGGCATAATGAGTCTAAACAACCAGAGAAATATAGCACAAAATTGAATTCAATATCTGAAGAAGCTGCAAAAGAAAATATAATGTCAAAATAAACTGGTGGAGATAATTCTCCAGTCTGGAGCCATTTAAAAAATACTTGGACAAGCTGCACTTATGTGGGATCTACGTGCCTCTTGGAATTATTTTAGTTTTTAAATTTAGAGAAAGAGAAAAGATTAGACCACTAACTAGTAATAAAGCGGTTGCTAGCTTCTTTTTACTGGTGGTTGTGGTAAATATTCCACACCACTGCTATCAAATGAACTGGGATGAAAGTTGAAATGTAAGTTCAACTGGTACAGTGACATTGTTGTGGCATCAGCCATTTTCTTTGGAGTGGTCTGCTGGAGCAGCAGCATCTCAGCAGTCGACAGGAAGAG